GTAAAATCCACACTTCTTAAAGTATCCACTTGGACATAAAAGCACACTATTCAGAATGGACCTATAAACACAGCCAGTGTAACAAATAGAGCAGTTGCCCTGGTATTGGATAGTTTCTTCTTAACTGTATTGCTTGCAGACCTCATACTACTGCATAGCCACAACTTTTGTACCATTTCCCACTTGGCAATAAACTAAACCCTTTAAAATCGTCTGCCAAGGCATCATTGGCAGACAGTGATGCTATTTCCACCAAGGGTCATGTTGTCTTATCAGGGTGGATACAGCACTTCCATACAGTGACTTTTTTATGTTGGAGATATGACTTTCCCACATTGGCTTGCAATATCATAGCCACAAAATGTGTTTTTTTTTTGTTGTTGTAAAGAGTTGTCCCTTATTGGCATAATAAAAACAACAGCTGCTCCACTGACATGAACTTTACTGACTCATGAAAAATCCTTAACATTCAAATTAAAATAGGGCTTCATTTTATTGTAGCAAAACATGTATAACACAACTGAAAATGTGCACTCAAAATATTGCCCTCAGGAATAGTTTGTACTGACATGTTAAACTAAAGTTAGATTGTATGTTTTTATGTGTTATATGTATATCTAGTAGAGATTAAATTGAGATACAGATTAAATTTTCATACAGTAGCACTATATACATATAGTACAACAATGTTTTTTTGCTAATTGATTTAAGTTTGGAAACTAAAAATAGATCATAGGAATAATATTAGTATTCTCTTAGTCAGCAATATGTGTACATGTGTTTTTGAATGCACCACAAATGTTGACACTTAAGTTCTGATAATTACAATTATTAAGCATTGTCTGTCTTGCCTGTGTATGTATACTGCAAAGCACTGAACACCAGCTAATATATATGTACTAATGTATATAATTGGTGTGATTTCACTGAGATAAGCTCATATCCCAAGGCCATGTTTTCATTGTTAGTCAGCTTTAACCACACTGACTCACACAAACAAACTCACACTGATCCACAATAGCTGTCTTCAGACCTTTAAGTAGACATTTAGAGATAATACAACTTCTAAAGCCTAAGTCTGTTTTTTATGACTTTTACAGTGACAATTCATTTCATTTTCAAATTATATTTCACCATACATTCTCTCCAATTAGCCAGTAGTGTAATATGTTCTCCTCTAGTGTAAGGTAGAACTTAATGGCAGTAAGAGACATTTCCTACAGTGTTGTCATTTAGCTTTTGCAGTACATAGGCTTCTGCCCGCTGCAGTCTCCCTCCATTGTTGATGAAACATAGTGTCAAGTGCTCTGCCTAGCCTTAGTAAAACAGATATTATACAAAGATTCTTCTGATGCACAGCAGGGAATGGGGAAAGAACTGTCAGGCTTGTTCCCAGCAGGCTGTGCGGACTGTTCATTTGGAATCAACCAGAGCGTAAGCAAAGTTTGGGCTGGGGATTAACAGGCCTGCCTGTGGGACTGGACTGGACGGGGTGTTTGCTAGCCCTTCAGTAACCAACCATGACTATGTTGCCTGGCAACAGCATACAGTCTGCTTGCTTGCATTGGTCTGTTGCTCTGTGGTGTCTCACAATTGGCCCTGAACTTCACCCCTTATGCCAATCAGAGAAGGTTGTGATGACTAGTAGAATGTAGCCTTGGCATTCCTCTGTTATCTTATTGCGGGATGTGTGAAAACAAATGAAAAGTCTGTTCGCAGCCCTGGGATGATGCAAAGTTCATCACACCCACACACAAGAGATAATACCTAACAAGTTGTATGCTCCATAATTGTAATTGATGACATGGAAGCGTATTATTCTGTTTACACCAAGACCTCGTACTATCTTATAGAATATGTTGTTTATTTACGTATACAACTAATTTTACTCGCTTTTCATGTTAAAATCATAAAATATAGTCTCTGACCGTCCTCTCTTTCTTCCTCTGACTGTTAGATGATTGGAAGTCCAAATTAAATTGGTTGGTTCTCTATTTGTCTCATTTTTCAGTTGTGGTGGTTACACAAGGGTTAAGACATTTCTGCAGAGTCATTCATACTGACCCATATAGCTGCATTTAATATATATTCTCTCTCTCTCTCTCAGATGAACTCCCTCTGGATCATAATAAAGAATGGATTGCACTGTTGCCTATATTAAACAGATCCCCATTTTGTGCTTCAATACTATAATTAAACTTACAATATTTCTGAACCATTGTCCTGTGTGGAGGCAGTGGTGATTTCCTTGAAGCCCACACTTTTCCCAGGGGGCTGAATCCAGTCACAGCTCTGGTATTTGGAAACATTATTAACCCAGAGTGGGGTTCTTAGTCACTGGTCCTGGACTTGAAGGAGATGGACCTCTGCTGGGAAGTTAGCACACACACAGTAGTAGATACAAAGCCCTGTGAGAACTGGCCTCCGGACTGGAGTTGAATGTGACCCAGATCCACTCTTCTCTTTTCTGCTCTGCTCTGCTCTGCTCTTCTCTTCTCTTCTCTGCAATTTAGGAAAGTGGGTTTTGGGTCAGCAATTTCTGCATGCAGTCACGTCTTAGTCCATCGCCCCAGGGGTCAGTGCACTGACGTCATGCCCCTCTCTGTGAAAGCCTGTGCCATCAGGAGTTCATTTCAGGCTCTGCATTCGCCACTCAAACACTGATGCTCAAAGTGAATCTCTCTAAAATGGAAACACTACAAGACGTGGAGGTCAAAACAAGCCCTTCTTCTGATTACTAAAGAAATACGTATTTATATCAGGCTTTGGAATCTTTGCATTTGAGTGTAACGTTCCCATCTAATCTCACTGGTGAGTTCTCCGTTACTTAATCTTGATCCTGATTGCTGACAAAGTAGTTCTTGCTCAAAAACACATCTCTCTGGAGAACATAAAAACACTTGTTGAGAGAGAGACAAGGCTGCATGGGACTAGTGGGGGAATAACGCAAGCAGAAACACCATGAGTGATCCATCTCTGGTATACGGATGTTGGCTTGTTAGAAATCTGCGTTTGAATATTCAGTATTTTGTCAGAGGACATTTGTATTTATACCTATCTGAAAAAGTTTTGTGACCTACTTTCTGCAGCCTTTTAATTTGTGGATATGTGGATAATACATATGAATTCAGCGAGGGCAATAAGCAGCTGCCTGATTTGCTTTGGAAATTAAAGCTGACATCAGACGTCATAGCTCTGGCTTCTCGGCTTTGTGAGTCATGCCTTGTCTCGTTCTCTTACCTGGCAAGCAAAGGCAGCACATACCTACCTGGCACTGCAGATAACATTAAAGTCATAGTGCTCATTTTTAGCCTTAATACTCTGCTGATCTAATCTTGACATTGCGCTTACGTGGGCTGATGGAAAGTTTGCAGATGGTGTGTCAAATGTACAGAAATTGATGCTAAAACTCAGACGTTCAGCACCTTGCTGTACATTGCACAGGCCAACCACAGCTGCTTATTCTGATATTTTGCCATGACCTCCAGGTGGATACTATAATGTGAGATGTCAGATTCTAAAGGTGTATCCATTCAATGATTAGATAGAGAGATATAGCAGTCTAGTGATGTGAGCCAGTGTATACAAATGGCTGCAGGGCTGTCGAGCATTTACACGTTCTAATTTATGTCTTAAGGGGGTTGAGAGTGTCGAAGGGGCCTGAGAGTGTCTTTGCAGTTTGGGGAAATTGTGTTGTGTTAGCAAAAAGCCTGTCAGTGGGTTAAATACGAGGACTACGAGCAGGTGAGGGCTCTTGGATCTTGACTTTCTCACCCCAACTCATTAAGAGCTTTTGTCTGGCAAAGCGCTGAGACAGATGAAACATGAGAGTCTGGGACTAATGTTTTCTTTGATGATGGATCCTGTGTGATTTGGCTTTTAGTCTTTGTTCCTTTTTCTGTCACCCTGTGTTTTAGTGTGAGCATGTCTCCTATATGCTTTGTGTACATACTATTTGTGCACACTCTTTGTATGTGTGGGTGTAAGACAGGCAGCACAGGGCTAGTTTGAGGTTTGATTGATTATTATATCAGAGGTGATTATTGTTACTAGGTGGTGGGAATGAATAGCCAACAGTCCACCCTGCCAGAGGGCTGTATCACTTATCACTGGGCTTTCCTCCAGCCATGCTGTAATGTTTTGGCAACCTGATATTGTTGCCATAATGCTCTCACAATATTATTCTGTCACTTTGTTGTGTGCTCACTCATGATCAAGGGGCCTATTGCACAATGAAAACCATGTACTTTGACAGTATACCCCTTGTATCTGTATATGCATGTTACTGTAGTCGTGTCTTTATGCTGAAAGGAAGCAACTTGTAAGGGAGTCATGTTCAAACAGCTTCAAGTGTATGTGCACACACAAACTCTCACAAATGCTTCATGGGGTTTCTGTATCTGTTGGTGGTCCACCCTCTGCTCACAAATAGATTCTTGCCTCATAAATATTTACAGGTGTGTATGATGTGTGAGCTTCACATGCAAGGATATGCTATTTTACTTCCACTTAGTCATCTGTGAGGTTGCTCTGCGTGTACTGGTGCTTTAATCTTTAGGTTGCAGATTTTGAACGGTTGACAGCAACAGGAATGAGTTACTGGGAGAAAACAAAGTGACAGCCCCCTCCCTCTGCATCCACCACACTCTCATCACACAGCAATAAAAGTTAATAGGCATTTTGTTCTGCCTCTCTTGTCATTCTCTCACTCGCCGCCACTCTTTCTTTTTCCACTTGCTCCCACTTGTACTGCGTGTTTTCTTTTGAGCTCTGCTTCATTGCTGGTACAAGCTGAAGTATTTATAACACAAATATTGCCAGTAAAAGTCTATACTGATGTCCAACTGTTGTGCCTGAAAAGGTGACAGAATCATTCCTGAAGACTCCCTACTTCTCCTCCTCTATTGTCTCAGCCCTCTTCTCTTGTGATTTGTTGGTATTTTTTTATTTTTATTTTTTCAATATATTACTAACCTGAGTGTCTGCTTTCTGTGTTTCAGGTTTACAGAAAATTACAATGGCTGACCGTTTTGACTGTGACAACTGCAAGGAGTCCTTGTATGGCCGCAAGTACATTCAGTCAGATGACCATCCCTACTGCATCCCCTGTTACGACAGCCTGTTCTCAAACACATGTGACGAGTGCAAAGAGCTGATCGGCCATGACGCAAGGGTGAGGCATCCATTTTGACACGATCAGACATGCAATCAGCTTTCTGCTGAACAGTAACAAGTGGAGCGCAGAATTTCAATTGAATTTCAATCTTAGATCTAATTAAAAGAAAAAAAAATGTACCTAAATATTTTTGTTAACATTTGTTTTCTGTAAAACATGCGCTGGAATGAACCACACATATGACTTTAGTGTTTCCACACTGTGAGCCACATATTAACAGTTTAAACAAAGATAAAGCACATAAAACATTTGCCCTAATTAGCTTTAAGCCATTTTTTAACCATGTTTTGACATGGCCTTGGATAGCTAAACCAGAAGTTATGTAATGCTAATGATGCATAATTCATGTTAAATGAGGCATGTTCTATATATTTTGTGTGGCAAGACATAGTAAAGGCTAATTTAACATGCAATTATACAGGCAATTTCCACAAAGTCCACATAAGCCAACGGGCTAATTTAGTCTAAGATTGTAAAAATGCAGCATGAGGGAATGTCTCTCTCTTCCCCACAATCAAGTTAAAATTGAATCTTCCCTTAATGGAAAACACTAACAAGTGGATCATTTAAGACTGACATATGTTACTTAGTGGACTTTACAGAATGGGGCATGCTACAAGGTCTAGTAGTTTGCTTAGCTAAGAAGGCCAATGAGTTATCAACACCCTCTTGGGCAGTTGACGATAAATAGAGCCAACACTTTCTTGGCTCAGTGCCTTTTAGACGATTCAACATCTTTGTTAGACCTTTTTTAAACAGAAGCAGGCACACAGTACAGTATGTACACGTACACAGAGTAACCACATACTGTTTACTGCCTAGCAGACATTAGGGTCAGTTTGACCCAGAGCAATCCAACTCCCCTCTGTGCTCATGCTGTAACCAGAAACCTTTGTTGGTGTTTAGTTTAGCAGTTGTTGCAGTTGTAGTTGTTGCAGTTCTGAAAGTTAAACATGAAAATACATTTGTAGGACACTCATAATGATTAACGTAATTTCATTTCTGTGATGTATTCATGAAATTACCTCAAATTGCTTGTTGTCTACTGTTGTTCTGCTGCCAGGAGCTCTTCTATGAGGACCGGCATTATCATGAGCACTGCTTCCGCTGTTTCCGTTGTGATCGCTCGTTGGCAGATGAGCCTTTCACCAGCCAGGATGATGCGTTGCTCTGCAATGACTGCTACTGTAATGAGTTCTCCTCCAAGTGTGTAGCCTGTGACAAGATCGTCATGCCAGGTAATGGCTATTTTATGTATTAATATTAATAAGTTTGAGCTTTTTTTTTTTTAACCATGAACATGCTTATCTTAAAATCCAGGAAGAGAGAGTTATAAAATAAATATGAAAATAAAAGAGGAAGTGACTTGTGAAATATTTTGCACATAATGCATTTGATGGTGCCATATAGTATGACCACCCAACAGTAGTCTCATTGCCCCACATTTTATTTTCCATGTAGTATTTGAATGCAAATTTCAAGATACATAGGCAAATGACTTCGGAAAATGATGACATGACAAATTCCAGGAAACAGGGACAAATGAAAAGTATAAAGTGACAAATCTAGCAGATATAGAAAGGAAAGAGGTTTTAAGAAAAAAAGAGGGAGACGAGAAAGAGACGGAGGCGAGGGTCAACGATTGAGCAGCAGCCAGGGCTGAATGTGACAGAGTAATTGCCAGTCTGCTTGACTTGTTGTCCGTAAGCCAGATCCCAAGGGCTGGTTGGCTGCCAGCAGAATGATGATATGAAGAGATAAGCAATTCAGTTATTCCAGCACCCCTGTAGCAGCTTACACAGCCCTAATAAAGCAGCAAATGATTCCAGGAAGAGTACAACAATTCCCTTTATTTCCACTCTATATAAGTCTCCATATAAAGACTGCACATTTGCATTACAGTGTTAGTGTAAGTTAAGTACAAGTGAGGAAAAAATTTAACAGAAAGTGATCACAGCAAAGATTTGTTAACTAGAAAAACTCCTGAGATTTAGTAGTATACAATACTGCAAACTTTTGAATGTTTTCCAACCAAAGAAGAGCCATATCCCTTTGGCAACATAGAAAAATATGTATACCCTCAAAAACAGACACACACACTTACCTTTGTTTAACGACTGGATGCTAGGCTGATCTTATTTTAGCTTAATTTTGAAGCTTGAAAATAATGTATTTGGCAAGAATAAATGTATATAGGAAACACAATGATAAAAGGCACACTGCACCAAAACACAACATAGTAACGCATATGGCGCAAGGATCAGAGGACCTGTAGGGCAAAGAGACAGTTCAAAGCATCTTGACAATTGACTATGCAGAGAGCATACTGTAGGATTTGCTTCCAGGTGAAGTAGATGTACAGTATTTGCAAAAATAATAATAATAAAATACTTTGTAAGGATAATAAAGCTTCTATTATTTGCAGAGGCTGTTTTCTGTATATTACACCTATTTAATAATCAAATTATTTTCAAAGCTCTTTAAACTTGTTGGAATACTTGTGAAATTGCCCCCAAAAGCTATATGTATTGTATTTAGCATTTCAGCATGTTCGCTTTCATTCTATTTGTCAAATACTCATAACTAAATACTACTATTGTCCTCCTGGAGCCACTGTAATTCCTGTAGGCTTATAACCTGGAATGTTTTTGCAGGGGATTTTTGCAGTTTTTGATTAGAGTACACCACAGCACAGAGCCTGAAGCAGAAAAGTGTTAGCAATCCGCAGACAGCAGTAGTACAAAATGGCGGCCCCACACAAACCACTGCGTCACCATAGAATAAACCAAGCAGTATAATAAAAAACTCAACAGCCAAGGGATTGAAGATGGATTGGTTGGGGACACGGAGGGAAAATGGCATTATCCCTTACTTTAAAGCCTGTCGCCAGTTTCCAGCAGTAGGAAATAAGTGTGGGGCTTTGTGGTATTATGATTTAAAATAAAATAAATCTTAGTGAAACAAAATTTGTCTTATATGCCTTCATGCAATTCAAGTGTATTTTTTAATTGTTCAATGAAATTACCATCAAATACTACCAAAATGGCTATAACAATCCTCCAAAGGACAGTTAAATATTCATTCTATACAGAAAATGTAACTGTTCCTCTGCTCTCTGTCATTCTTTCCATCCTTTTTCTCTTTTTCTCTCATTGCCTCCTGTCGTGTCTCTTTCTCTCTGCTAGGTACGAGGAAGTTGGAGTATGCAGGCTCTACATGGCATGAGGGCTGCTTCATCTGTCACAGCTGCGAACAGCCAATTGGCTCGAAGTCTTTCATCCCTGACAAGGATGAACACTACTGTGTGTCCTGCTATGAGGACAAGTTCGCTCCACGCTGCACACGCTGTAAAAAGGTCAGTAAAATTATCAAATGACTTCCCACTTACACTTGTATGGTAGACATTGGGAGACATGATTAATCCTGGGTCTGTAGGATCATGCATGGGAATAAATTTAAGTGAATGATAAAGATCTCCACATGACCTTTGACCCATTGTTCCATTTCAGACCTTGGCTAAAGGTGGTGTGACCTATAGAGAGGAGCCATGGCATAAGGAGTGTTTTGTCTGCACCAGTTGTAAGACACAGCTGGCGGGTCAACACTTCACCTCCCGAGACGACAGCCCTTACTGCCTCAAGTGCTTTGGCAGCCTGTATGCCAAGAAGTGCGAGGCCTGCAGCAAACCAATCACAGGCAAGATGACATCACTATGTTCTACACAATAATATTGATTTGAGCTACCCCAGGTGCTACTTTTGATATTGTGTTAGGGTCAAATTCTAAAAACTGTTCATACTGTGAAAGTAGTTGACTCTAAGATTGGCAGCCAATTTTTTACATTGTGTGCCACCTGGTCTCAAACTCTATTAGATTTAAGTAAATCACAAAAGATTGCCTTATCGCACACAAATCAATGATGATACCAGTTCCATTCTAGGAAGCAAACATTTATGGGAAATGTTTTAAAGTCAAAACAGTTTTGGTTATATCACATTCAAGATTTCTGTATTTTTGTTTGTCTTTGTCCTCTTCTTGAGTGGGGCTCAGTTGGAAAAATGTGAAGTCACATACTTCTGTGGACCAATCGGGAGTTAGCAGAAGTTGAATCAGAATCTGATGACTGTTGGTTGTTCAGTCAATCACATTAGATCAAGTTGGATTTTTTAAACTCAATATGCTTTTGCTATGTTTCGAGGTAGACACGAGTTGCAACTTCAGTTGTGCTGAATTCAAAGTCCTCTAAAGCTCGACATACAGTTTAATCTCTCTCTTGTCCCTCTTCTTGTCCTAGGTTTTGGAGGAGGAAAGTACATCTCATTTGAGGATCGCCAGTGGCATCAGCCATGCTTCACCTGCTCTCAGTGCTCTGTTTCACTGGTGGGCGCTGGCTTTTTCCCTGATGGTGACAGGATCTTGTGCCGTGACTGCAACAGCAACCTATAGAGCAGTCATTCACCATATTCTCACCCTTCCCTTGACTTACCTTCCACTCTTCGTCACAGCATTTCAAAAACCCCAAGTCATTACCGAGGAAGGTAACGAAGGCTAACAAATGCTGCCTCTCAGGTTGTTTTTATATTAAAAAAATCAGTTCCTCGTGGTCCCTGTCTGGGTGAGATTTTTATCCAGGAGCTAGTGCGCAATATCCTGTTTTGATGCTGCATTGTTTGAATGAACGACCACAAAGATTTCCTCTTTAACCAAAAAGTTAATGATTTTGTGCAACAAAGTTAATGGAGTGCCTTAAGAATACCATTGCTTATATGTTATGTACTATTGAACCAAAGAACTGCAAAATGCTAGTCACTTTGCAAGAAATTCCTTCATATTTTATATAAAAAATTGATTGAGCACTGATACACAGTATAGTATGTAAACCTACACCACAGTGTGTATGTCAAAGTATGGTGGAGGTACTGTTGTGTTGCTCTTATAACTGCAGTTTAAAGCATTTTAATTACAGTATGTCAGAAAATAAAAGCAAGATGAAAAAAAAAACTGAGGTAGTCAGTTTATGGTAGTTATGATCAATAAAATCATTTGCACTTTGGGTAAGATATTCTCTTGCTACCATGTTATGTGCACATAATAACACATCTTAAAAAAAACATGGCACACAGACCACTTTTTTGTCATGTATCTGCTTTTGTTGAACTTTGCAATGACACTTATTTTTACATAAAATTTCTTATTTCTGTTGTTTTTTGCATATGTTGTAATGAATCTTTTTATCACCAGTGCTCAAAGAGCCAGCATTTATAACCCAAAAGAAGCTGAAATGAAATCTAATACCATTGTGTATTGCAGGAGTATGCATGTCTTTGTCTGCCATGATTTGATTTTTTTGTTGCTGTTAATGCTATTAGTGTTTTGTTTTGTTTTGCATTGTAACATGTATGTGAAAAATTCTGAAAAAAACAAACAAACCTATTTTTCATTATTTCAGCTTTGATGCTGGTGAGTCAGAGTTGGCAAATACACATTTTAAGATTAAAATACGTCATTGAGGCACTAAAAGTATGAACTTACTGTAAAAAAAAAAGATGATAATTGATATGGCTACATGTTTCGTTTATTTGTGAAGGCTTATTAAATAAATTTACACTGACTGATCTCTTCTGGACAGTTTTTATATTCTGTGTGTTTTTGTGGTTATTGTGAAATGTCCATTACTTATTTATGAGGTCATAGCTTTCTGTGAACTTGTGTTTACTGTCTACGCCAGAAAAAACCCTTCTGGAGTGTTTAAAGTCTTTCTAGGAAAGACTAGCGTGTGTGCGTAGGTTCGTGTTTGTGTGTGTTTGACAGACAGAGACAGAGAGTACAGGGGGAAGGGCATGAAAGTGTGTAAGTGTGAGAAAGTGTTAGAGAGAGAAACCATGCGTGTGTAATAAAAGAGAGTAAAAAGTGTTTGTGTGTGTCTGTAGAGTTAATGTATTTTTTGCTCGTGTGTGAGAGTTAAAGGGAGAGTGAGCACACATCTGTGTATATGTGTGTGTGTGCCTGAATGTGTGTATATATATGTATACTGTTGTTTATGCTGAGTCGACTGTTTCATCGCCTTGATGAAGCACACATACACAGACTGCCAAATACACTCTCCTGTCGGCATTGGGGAAATGTCCTCCTCCCTGCCTCTGTTTGAGATTTTTTCACCAAAAAAGGAAATGGAAAACTCGTAGCTGCATGGGGGAGGGAGGGGGGTGACTGGTGGTGGAAGTGGGAGAGAAAAGAGTGTGGGAGAGAGAGAAAGGAGAGAGAAAGAGAGGGAGGATGTTCACATCTGGAGTTGCTCCATGGCACTTTCACTGGGGGGTCAGCTCCACACATGGCCCACTTTGGATTTATTAGAAGGAGGAGGCGGGTGGGGAGGTTACGGCTAGCAGGAAAGGTCAAAGGAAGAGCTGTGGAGATGTTAACTGTATCATATGGTACATGCACTCTAGGTTCAGCTTTAACATCTATTACTAGTGAGAGGGAGGAAACATTATTGATTTGAAAAGCAGCCTTCTGTCTTATGGTCTTTCTGATTTTCAGCAGCAATATGTTCTCTAACTCTCTTTTTCTTTGAATTTGTCCCATGTTTGTTATCACTGCCACCCAGAATCAAGTTTACCCAACACCAGTTGCTAAAAAAAAGGACATGTCTGGCCTCTCACTTGGATTGAAGCGTGCAAACAGCTGCATAGCTGGCTTCTCACTCTCTTACAAGAGGTTAATCACTTTGCAAAAAAGATATTAGACTTACAATTTTGCTGCTAGGCCTAACATTTCACTGAAACATCAACCCTTGCTGCAAAAACAAACAGTGTGACTTGTATTTAGGCTCTGAACATGACAAGTAGACCTAGCAAGACTCCATCAGCCATTTATAGTTGATATAACATAGGCTGTCTGCCAGTAATGTCATTTACAATTTCACCAAAAATAGACCTGGGTATAGTTTACACACAAAACCCAGCTCAGTTTATTTTAATCAAAACTGCATGCATGTGAAAGTTTATATGTAAAATTGAATGTGTCTTATCAGCCTAAATCGCAAATTGGAACTTTACTTCTGAAGGACACTTAAAATCCTAATCGAGACATTACAAGCTTTGTTTTGCTTGCCGAACGTATACAATTCTGGACATTTTTGCAAAATACACACTGAATCATAAATAGTGGCAAGCTACATATGGTCATTTGTATTGCTTATGTTCTCCTGCATGAAGTGAGTTCATACCATATAGACTGTATATAAAGAGAAAATTACAAATATAAGAATATAACATAAACATATATAGTCTATGGTTCATAAAGGCACCATGTTATACGATTTGTGGGTTTAAGGTAGAGTCAAACATGCAGTTACCTGTTGTGGTGATTTGTGGCTATATTATATAGCCACAAATACTATACTGTACTATATTAATATAAATATATTGTTTAATAATCTTTGTTTATATAATTATAAAACCACTCTGATCTTGGCCACACCATGCATCACCAGGCCTTTAAAAAACACATTAAAGTTATAGAAGGTACTGTATATAATAAAATAGGTGCTCCTGAATCGCTACTTATAAGGTAGCCCCAACCAGTAGATCAGAAGGGGAGTGAGGCTGATAGAATCATGTTAATACAGGCTCCAATCCCAAAGATTTATAGAAAGTTGGCTCCATAAAACAGCAGTGAGGGATGATTAGCACAGACCCTATTCATATCATTCCCAGATGTCTGCTTTGCCCTGTTTTCACCCGGCTGGATCACTTTTTAGCCTAAAATCAGTATCACTTATCGCAGTTTCAGAGGGAAGTAAATCCTCAGAATCTAAGGTGAAGGTGATGAGATAAAAATGCGTTTTTTTATCTTGTAGAGTGCAGTCAGTTTAACAATCTTATCCCTGATGAGTATGAAAATGCTTTACTATTACTATTTATTGTAAGCATCTATCCAGTGATGAAGTGGTGCCTGGAGAAGTAGGTATACTCTTAAAGGTGCAGTGTGTAACTTTTAGGAGGATTTATTGGCAGAAATGAAATATAATATTCATAGGTAATAGGTATTCAGTAGTGTATAATCACCTAAATATAGGAATTGTTGTGTTTTCGTTACCTTAGAATCAGCCGTTTGTATCTGCAGACGCCGTGGGTCACCTTCCATGGAGTCTGCCATGTTGAACTGCCATGTTTCTACAGCCCAGAACGGACAAACCAAACATTGACTGTAGCTGGGCTTTTGTGTTTTTCCACTGTAGTTTCTCCAAAACACTTCTGGTCGTCAAATACAGATGTGAGCAATGTTCAGCTAGTTGCTAGATGCTACTAAATCATGCACACTGGTAATTAATTTATGCCCCATTTTTTTGCTGCCTCTCCAGCAAAGGATAAAAACCAAGTGACAAGTGAGATTACATCCATATTCACCCAAAAATGGCCAAGTAGTATTTGCACACTGTGATTTAAGTTCTAGGGCTTGACTTTAGGGAGTAAGGATCATAAAGAATTTAATATTAGCCACAGAATAAGTTCAGATTTTGCTATCAGTACTGTCCCAAAGACAGGTGAGAGAACAACACAATAAAATATTTTGAGTGAAATATTCCTCAATCCATCTACTATGGGCAACTATGTCATACCTTCACCATCCCATAGGTTTACCATAGCAAAAGAAATTTCACAGAACACAATTGAATGATGCTCAGAGGGGATTTAGAAGTGGGTATTCCTAATGTTGACTGAAAAATAAGTAGGTATACTTCACTGCTGCATCTATTCATGGTAATTTACATAACTAATGAGGTTTGTGTTTGTTACATAAATTACATTAAAAAGATTTTAGAGAATTTTATATTCTCAAATTATATTTGTCATAATCTTAATACCACACTTGTTTATGAAACAATAAAACAGTTTTATAAAAACCTGTGGAGCCAAATTGAACTGATGCTTGATGTGATATGAGAAATGTGTCTGCTTAATCCATGTCATGCATTTTCTTGAATATGTGATTGAATTAATTTAAATTGAATCCATGTGTATCTGTACAGATTTAGCAGATAAACAGCCAATGGATGTCCAGTCCCTGCCATTTGGCAGGAGCAGGTGAGGTTTGAACTGAAAATTTCAAGCAGCATCTGGGATCCCAGTATGCAGTCTTTGTTGTGAGCAAATCTACACATTCTACCTCCTCAGGCGATGTGTAAGTTACACTTGAGAGGTATCAGCATTGAAACCTTATGTCTTTGCAACTCATTCTCCTTCCCTCTTTATTGCACTTGTTAGGATTGTAGGTAACCTACTGTAGGTACATCTTTTAAAACAACTGGGAGGTACTGTCTAAATCAGGCTTCTTGCAACAAACCATGTATTAACTGAACTACATTCTGGGTACATCATTATCTCAGTATCCCACAGTGTCAGAGAATATACACCAAAGCATCATACTATGGTGTAATTTTAGACATTTTTGTTTGTGTGTTTAACATACAGTAAACTATTTAGTTTTATATGAACTGCATCTGCCTTGGCCAGTGAATTGGCAAGATGTGCTATTGGTTATAAATGGATGCCTGTTATACTTAAGTTTATAGATACTGTAGTGTATAAGATAAGTGAGAAGGTAAGTGAGCACTGCCAGCATGGGTTTCAAATAACACATGTATTCTCTTGCCAGCTCTGACTTATCAACACTGTAACCGTTGTCTTTAAAATTACGTAATTTTTGATTTTCTACTGGTAAAAATGTGATTGTAATTGTTTATCTATGTTACCCTGTGTGTCTTGTAAACCTATTCAGCATGTTTGTTTACATGTGCCCAGCCACCATCCCATGACCCTGAATTGTGAGTATAAAAGACATTGAATGAGTTAATGAATGAAATAATGAATGAATGACCATCCTCCTGTTTTTCATTTGCTAAACATCAAGGCAGACATAATCAAATAAAATTTGATCAAGCTTGAAGCAGCAGCTGAGTGTTGCAGCAACTTCAGGTCACATCCTGTTTGATGTCTAGACAAGCACACCATAGCATGAGTCATTTACACAATGTTACTGTTCACATTGTAGCCTGCTCTATCCCATGTATCCCAAATACTGCAGGCAATACACCTTATTAGTTTCATAGTATTAGGATGAGGAGATGAAGACAAGAATTTGGTATAATCTTTTGCATTAATCTGTGTGACAACAACAAGGACTTACAATATTGTTCATTTCAGAATTTTTTATTGACAGCACTGTTGTTAGTCTGACTGTCCAAAGGCTGAATTGGCAGCACCAACACACCTGGTAGGAGCAATAATTGTGTAAGTGGCTCACCTGTTGATTACTGATTGGGAAAAACACTTTGTGTGTGTCACTGTGAGTGACATATATATATATATATATAGCGAGGTGTGTGTCATCTGTTCCTTGCTGCTTGAAGAAGTTTAGCATAATCAGAATGCTGTTGTGACTAAACTATTTTCTTAACAAAGAGTATTTTAAGCTGCAACTAAGACGGTGTGTTTGAGCAGTTTTGGGAATTTCCTCCAATGTGCAACACCTCAAACGATGGTGTGTCATTAGAACTGTTGAAATTTGGACTCCTCAAGCAAGATTAAAGTGTTGACAAGTTGCAGTCAACATTCAATATTTTAAATCTCA